AGGTGCGCCGGACACGACACGCGACACGCCATGCAGTATACCCCGCCGCGCGACATCCGTCTCGCGCGCGCAGAAGAGCAAGGGCGAGGAGGGCGAGGAGGGCGTGCAGAAGATCGAGGGCGAGGGGGAGGCGTGAAGCCAAGCAGCTGCAGGAGAAGTTACGCCAGTCTCGCAGATCCGGCTCGCACAACGGGGGAGACGCAACGCAGGCCCGAAGAGCGATGAACACGAAGATTGGGGATTCGGCTCGAGAGGGCCGCATGGACTCGAGGACGCACGGGCGCCGCAGCACACAAACAGCAGCGAAGAGGGGCGTGTAAGCCTTCGTCCCCACCCTCCTCCCAGTCACCCTTGTCGGGACCGGCGCGAGGGTGGGGGCGGTGCGCCGCGGACGGAGATGGGATATCTGGGATTTCGAGCCGAGAGTCGCGATGGAGGCAGGAGGCGGAGCGCCCGTGGAGGGAGGTGACGATGGGCGGAGGCAGCGGCGCACGCGAGGGGATGCTGATCGCGCGGCTGAGGCGCACCGACCCGCGTGAGAGACGTACGTCGGGTCGAGCTAGGCCCAGGGGCGGAGGTGAGTTGGAGTTGGCGTTGGCGTTGTGAGGAGGTAAGGATTCAGTGGACTCGCGGTTAGCTGTGCGCACGAACATGTGCGCGGAGGCAGGGAAGGAGGGCGGGAGGGACGCGGTGAGGATGATGAAGCCCGCAGTCGGCGTCGCCCTGCACGGCGGTGAAGAGGCCGAGGCGCGGGGGACGCGCAGGACGGAGGGTGCGCGATGTCAATCATGGCATCCGGACCATGGGGACGAGCGCTTATCGGGTTGACAGGTGGCGGTACGGCTTCTTTGATCGGCCTCTACATCCACTCTAAACCTCATCTTCTCTTCCGTCCAGGTAAGTTACCCAATTTCCGTGTCTTCTTTCTCACTTCCTGTAGTCATGCCGTCGGCCACATTCACCGACGTTGAAAGCGCCCTTCTCGCGCCTCCCTCCGCATCCGATGGCCGGGGAGCGTTCTACGGTTTCCGCATCGGCAAGACGCAGTCAAGCATCCTCAAGCTGGGTCGGGCGAAGGAGCCCCGGAAGCGTCGGTCACAGTGGGCGCGCCAGTGCCGAGGAGAACGACACTGCTGGCTCCCATACTATTGGGAGGTTCCGTTTTACAAAAAATTCGGTGAGTTTCTTACTTTCTTCTCGTTCCTCTCTGATAAATGCAGAAAAAATCATCCATTATCACTTCAAGGCGGCGGGCGCCTGGGTCGTCCCACACCGGTGCCGGTTTTGTACCGTCCGGCACCAGGAGAAGTTTGGATTGAAGGCGTGCGGTGGAGTTCGGGGACTCGTTAGGGTTGTCGAGTACTACCTTGGGCGCTTGAACTGGCCGGTCATCAGGTGAGTTCTCATTCAATATACTTTGGAATATTCTCTCAAGCAAACTTCAGAAGGAAACTCGGAAAGAAACTGTAGATACTACTATTGATGTATTGAAGCCGATGGGATGCATGCAACGCAGAGGATTCGGGAAATGGTGGTGTATAACTAGTTGAAGTCTGTGTAACGGGAACTAATGCTTCATCAGGCTAATCTCCCCACGGCGGCACACCCACTTGCGATAGTCGACTGCCTTCGGCGCTTGAACTGGCCCGTCATTAGGTGAGTTTTCGTTGACTATATTTGGGAACGCTGTCTGACGCAAACTTCGGAAGGAGACTAAAACGAATATTGATGTAGTCAAGCTGAGGAATGTAGGCAACGCAGGGAATTCAGGAAATGGTGAAGCCTAATTAGTGGAAGTCTGTGTAACTGGTACTAATGTTTCACCAAGGCGGTCACCTCGCAGCGGCGCGCACCCACTATCTTCTCAACTCCTTCTAATCCCAGTAAACTGACGAAAGATACATTAGGTTGTCATCCGACATTGCGACGAAGCAGGATCCTAATCCTTGTCGTGGACTCGAGCCAGGCAAGGTCCAAGCGTGACGATGCATGTTCGTCTAGTGCCCAGACCCAAACCAGCCGCGACACCGACGAGCACCAGGGGTTTTTTTTTGAAGTTACGTCGCTCGTCCCGAGCTAACAGCTATTTATTCAGATCATTCTTTCGCTTTCGCGCGTGGTGGAATTCCGACCCGGGGGACACTCCGATGCGCATTCGCATGCCGCGCACGCAGAAACACCTGCGACTCCGCAGCCCGTTGTGCGTGCGCTGCCGGCAGGCGCGACGTCGTGCTCCTCGGATGGGTACAGTCCTTTAGCTCGCCGATACCTCGAAGCGAAGGTATATTTCATTCCTGCTTTTTCGTGCTTTTCTACTGAGGGAGGATGTAGAATCTTATAATAAACCATTTTTGAGAAATAATTGTGTAATTTTGAGTGACGAGGCCGTACCGAAGGTCGACAAGGTTCACCTGGAGATACACCTTTGGCTGCACCCGCGGGTACACCTTGAGGTGCACCCCAGGGTGCCGTGGAAAGATGGTCTTTCCGTGCCACTTTCCGATTACAGGTAATGTTTTCCTTTCACCCTGCCTGAAAGTGGCATGGAAAGTTATACTTTAATACGGCCTTTCTGCCGCTCTGATTTTTCATCTTTCCTTTGAGATGAAAGGAATACGGAATGGGGTTCATTAAACTCCCCTTTCCCCCGGTTTTATTTTTCTTCTTTCAACTATGGTGAAAGGAAGGTTGAAAGTTGATCTTTCACCCGGCCATTCTCTTTATGTTGATTGTCTTTCAATCTGAGGAAAATGAAAGGCGTGCTTAAAATAGTTCTTTCCTTACTCCATTCAGCTCAGTTGATTGTTTAACAATCCGTCGACCTTTCTCTTTCGGCGGAATTTATGTATTTCCACTTATGTTGAAAGGTTGAAATATATTACTACTTTCCATCGCTCTGAATGTCGAAAAGATTCAAGTAATTTCCGACAATCTGAAAGGAATACAGGTAGTATAACAATCCATATCACATTTAACAGGGCTGAGAGATTCCCTTTTTAGGTGTGCCAACTCCCACCACAAGCCTCCTCCCATCTCCTCAATGCCAGTGGTCTCTCGAATACCTCGGGCCATTTGAGCTATGCCTGCCGTGCTCAACAATCCCGCCAAATTGTGACATCCTCAAGTAGGCTCGCACGACGCGCATGCCACCACACACGCCACCGCGCATGGCACCTTGTGAATTGTGATACAACGAGTGTGCTGCCGGTGTGCACCGTGGTTACCAATGCACGCTTGACTGTGCGCCTCATCAAAGTTGTCTGAACTTGAAATCAAGTGGTTTTCCGCTGCATGTCAAAAACAACGTCTGTCTCAAACCACGGCAACTTTATGGTCGCTTTCCCCCCATCCAGCAAGTGTCTGGATCAAATCAAGTATCACACTGGGTCTGGTCTTCCTCAAGCCTCCTCAAGTAATCAAGCCCGCTCAAATCAAATAACATATTCCTCAAGCCTGCTCAAAAAGGAATCAAGCTGTTCCTACATTTTCTTCCGCAAAATCCGGATGACGACTCAAACTCATCTCTCCGCTCTGAGCGCTGTATCGGCATCCGTGACAATACAGTCTCTCCCCTTCCTTGTCTCCCACGACTTGGGTCTCATCTTTACGTGTCAATACCATCAGTGTCGCAGCAAGGACTCCGCGACAGCCTCGAAAGGTGATGGTGGTGTTCTCTGGTTGTAAGGAGCACAGCTAATTCAATAGATATTCCACCTGTATTATATTGTTTTAATAAGAACTATTTCCACGCACTCCTGGGCAATTGGCTGGAATTGGGATCACAATAAGAAAGAGGATGCCATTGTTGAAAGGGAAGAGCCAAGTGGCTTGATGGGAAATCCCAAGCCATTGTTCGAGCTGTCTGATGGATGCACAGGATGCTGGACAATAGATTGATCTGGCCCATTGTGGTACAATACAATATGAAATCTGGTTGACACATTCTAGGTAGGTGGCCGCCAGGTGGTGTGTCCATGCTTCCGATTTCAGGTGGGTGACACCTGGGGGAATTTTGCCGGTGTAGGCGTCGAGGGTTATTATATAAGCACCGTTTTGGGAAGTCACGTGTATGATCCGTTGACGCGCCTTCACCGAAGTTCACGCGTCAAGAGCTGCACAAAGCGTGAAATTCGCAAGGTATGTAGGATTTAGTATGTCTAGACCAAGTATTTGCCTTCTAGTACTGTCCTTTGGTGAATATTAGGCGAAACCAAGTTGAACGACAGAAATCAGGGGTTTCTTGACCAAATTCGGCGAAAATAGGCTCTGGGTGTGGAAATCAACCAGGGAAAGGTTCCTCGGCTCCAAATTTTACCGTAGAGATGGTGAGAGTCTTGAAGTCCTCTGAACACGCCGAAATTCGCGTCTAATGGCCCAGGACGCGTGAAATAAATGGGTTGTTTGGTTGTGCATCACCCATCATTCCGTGATAAGATGGGACGCCGCTTATCGGACGCGGTAACTAACAGACTGTAATGGGCGAGGAACGAGCCGGTTTTCATTACAGCGTCTGTCTAGAGAGACTAAGGACTGGTGACATTGGCCGTATACGCAGCCGAAAAGGCACGAACGAGGATTGAATCACCTATTTTTGAACCTAAAAAAAGCTTCAATTAATCCACCGCATGACAAGAATAGTAACTAAGATGCATCTCCTTGGTCGGATATCCTACTCGCAGTTTTCCCCACAGAATTGGAAAGTGTCCAAGTCGCTAGATATAACTTGAACACTGTTATAAGTTTCAAATATTGTGGATTCGGCCACCGTCGACATGCACCAGCAGGGAACCGAACCCCGGACGCAATCACTACTAAGGGCATGACAGTTTTTGAGGTGACTGCGTGTGGCTGTACTATTCCTGCTGGATCAGGAGTTGAACCTCTGGAGTTTGTCAATTGGTTGGTGGTGTGGAAATTGAGGTCGGAGATGGCAGCCAGCAGCTGTTCTGCACTTGCTTTCAGGATTTTTTTTAAAAAAAACCACGTTACTAGCCACCACATGCACCAGCGGGGAATCGAACCCCGGACTCAATCACTACTTGAGGTCGATAGCATTACGAAGTTGATTGTGTGTACCATACACCACCGGTGCTCTCCAGGTATTTCTAGGGATGTACTATGTATGTGAATTCCCGCTAACAGGGAGTTGAAAACATGAGAGTAGATTGACCGTGACCTCTGGAGTTCGTCAATTTATTTAAGCTTACTATGCATTGGTTGATGGTGTGGAATTTGAGGTCGGAGATGTGCACTCATTTTCAGGATAAAATAAAATAAAAAGCCGAAGGGTAATACACCAGCAGGGATGAAATAGGACTAGCCCATCTTAAGTTCCGAGTGAAATCATCGCAAACGGAACTTAAGTTTCGCCAGATCTTAACTTCAGTACCGATGTGGGTGAAGCCCACAGGGCTGGGCTCCCTTGCCATACTTGAGGAGCTTAAGTGTTCCTCAAACTTAAGATCCTTCCAAACTTAAGACCCTCACTGTACCCCATAACTGTAATTCAAGTCGAATAGATACTGGACCTCAGTTCCACAAGACTTGAGCACTTAAGTGCGAAAGAAATTAAGTTTGAAAAGAACTCAAGTACTTTTTAATACATTATTTGAGCAGGGAATTACAGCTGATTTCGAATCTAATGAGATCGATCGATTTTGTTTTGCCGTTCCCAAAAAAAAAAAATTTCCTACCCAGGCCAATCCAGCGGCCTCTGGACATTCTCTGGTACAGTAAGACATGCGTAGGGGTTTTCAACCGTTAGGAATTATCAAATTTGGCGATGAAAAGGCGGGAGAGGTATGGAGTGATCCAATCAGTGATGGTAACAGTGGCCTATCAGCTTCCCCGCGCTGCGATTTCTTCTCATGACACAGGATGGTTTTGGCTACGTAGGTAGTATCTTGCTGCCTGGATATCACTACATGGTTCAAGCTATCCTGAACTCCACGGTAGAGTACTGGTCTTCTAAAATTTCCTTTTTGGGAACGGTAAAAAAAAAATTGAACGATCTCATTAGATTCGAAATCAGCTGTAAACCCCAGACTCAATCACTACAAAGAGAAGGGGAAGGCTCTACGAGGTGACTGTGTGTACCATACACCACTGGTGCTCTCTAGCTGTCATTCTAGGGATGTACTTACAAGTACATTTCCACAGGATCAGATAACATTCGGAGGAGTTGAAAACATGCAGAAAATTTGGGAGTTGGAAAATCCGGGAATCAGTCCGGCATCAATACCGGCGGCACGCTTCGGCTAGAAGTGTCGGACTTCCAATTTGAGTGCTGCTGGCAACCACATGCATCCAAAGTGCGCGCTCCTTCAGGCTCCTTTCGTTCGTCCGATCATCAGGGACGACAAGGCCGACGCTGTGCGTCGAAATGTCTTCCCCTTTCCTTTGATATAGTCGAATTCGAAGCCGCCCCCGTGCCGCCGATGCGAATCCACCTCGGGCGTGGGCCGCGTGGGATGTGCAGCTGGTGCAAGTCCGAGTCGCGCAGCGCCGCAGCGGCAGAGCTCGCGGGCGCGGCATGTGCGACCGCCGACAGCACCGTCACGGGAATGGGCCGTGGTGTGCGTGTGCCCGTGTGTGCCACGCTCTGCACCCGGCTCGAGAGCGCGCCAATGCGCTGCCGTGCACCTTCTGCACAGGAATAAGTCCTGAAGGTCGTCGTCGCACCAAGGCGACATGTTGTACGCTACAGGGGCGCGTTGGGGTTATTTGACATTGTGTCTCTGCCGCCTGAGACATCCCTAAATCAAACTCCGCCTGATGGTTAACTACGTCATATGGCCGCCGATCACGCCGGCGATCGTCCCAAATCCCCGGATTTTCCAACTCCCAAATGCACTCAAAACATGCCAGTAAATCAACCTCTGGAATTCGTCAATTGGTTGACGGTGTGGAATTGAGGTCAGAGATGGCAGACACTGATCTGCACTCCTGATCATTTTCAAGATAAAAAACAAAAAGTGTGCCAATTGCGCATGCACCAGCGGGGAGTCGAACCCCGGACTTCAATCACTATTCACTAAACGAACATTTTACGAAGTGACAGTGTGTACCATACACCACTGGTGCTTTGTAGCTCCTATTCTAGGGGTGTACTATATGGACATGCACACTAATGAGGAGTTGAAAACAAGACAGTATATACGTCAACCTCTGGAGTTTGTCAATACAAAAAAACTCCTTGAAAACCTCGTATGCACCGGCGGGGAATCGAACCCCGGATTCAGTCACTCCTATTAGTATGGAGGTTTTATGATATGACTGTGTGTACCATCCACTCAAGATAAAAACAAAAAGTATGCCAATTGCACATGCACCAGCAGGGAATCGAACCCCGGACTCAATCACTGCTAATAAAAGGAGTTGTTAGAAGGTGACTGTGTGTACCATACACCACCGGTGCTCTCTAGGTACCATTCTAGGGGTGTACTATATCTGCATTCCTGCTGGATCAGCAGTTAAAAACATGACAGAAAATCAACCTCTGGAGTTCGTCAATTGGTTGATGGTGTGGAATTGAGTGAGGTTGGAGATGGCAGCAGCTGCTCTGCAGGATTTTCAAAAACACAAGGAGAGGATCTATGCACCAGTGGGGAATCGAACCCCGTACTCAATCACTGCTCATAAAGGAACAGTTTACGAGGTGACTGCATGTGCCATACACCACTGGTGCTCTCCAGGTACCATGCTAGGGATGTACTATGCATGCACTTTCCCGCTCTTGAATGAGGAGTTGAACACATGTCAATATGTAAATTAACCTCCGGAATTTGTCAATTAGCTGATGGTGTGAAATTTGAGGTCGGCGAAGGCAGCAGCTGTTCTGCACTCATGTGTGAAGATTCGGACGCTCTCGCGGCAGCAGGATCGAACTAGAATATAACGAAGGTCTCAGTTATGCGTAGGCAGAACTCTATAATATGTACCTAGAATATAACGAAGCTAGAGTACTGTAAGTATGAGTAGAATGGTGTAATGAATGTACTCACGTCTCAGTTATGCGTAGGCAGAACTGAGACATGTTTGTTTACTACGATTGGTATTAGTAGGTCCAGTAACAAACAAGAACAACATGAAAAGATAATGAGTGAGCCGCTGATAGCGTGTATCTCAACATCATGATCATTTTCAGGATCAAAACAAAAAGTATGCCAATTGTGCATGCACCAGCAGGTAATCGAACCCTGGACTCAGCCACTACATGGGAACCAAAGCCTTACGAAGTTGACTGCATGTACCATACACCACCGGTGCTCTCTAGTTACTTGGGTGGGGGGCCGTGGCGGTGCCCGGCAAAAACTCGCGCTTATGCATTGTTTCTTGTATGCTTTTATATTCAAGAGGAAGAGGAACTTAAATTTCAGCTAAGGTCCAAGGCAGTCTGTTGTGAATCTGAGAAAGATGTAAGTTATAAGGAAGGATATTATTTTGTGTTCAAGAAGAATATCTCTTGAAAATATATGAACACTGTACTTGAATCACCAGTATTATCAGTGACTACCTACTGAGCCCAAGTAGGTAGTGGACAGAACTCGACCTATGGGGCCGCTGTAAGCAGGCCAGAGGCGCGTTCATAACCGCTACACCAAAAGGTAGATAATTGATTAGATGGTACTAATCAGTCGCACGCCTATATAAGGACAATGGGAGATGTCATAAACTGGCAGGTTTACACCCTTCCCCTCTCTGGAAACTTTGTCCCTTCTCTCTCCTCCCATTGTTATGAGAGAGACGTTATGGGTTTTCCAGTGGTTATCAGGTCTTATAAATCAGCCCCAGGGTTGCAATCCCTGCCGTTGGCTTGCAAAGGTCACTTCCGGTGTCCCATGGTGTCCAGTGACCTGTATCCATTTTGGTGGTAAATGGTGTCACTGGCTGGGATCGAACTTGTGACCTTCTGCCAACGTTATCTAATCAATTAATGTAAGCAGGCCAGAGGCGCGTTCATAACCGCTACACCAAAAGGTAGATAATTGATTAGATGGTACTAATCAATCGCGCGCCTATATAAGGACAATGGGAGATGTCGTAAACTGGCAGGTTTACAGCCGCTGTATGTCAAATAGTTCTCCCCATTGAGCCATTTAGGAATTATGTTATTTGAGGTGTCATTGAACTCTGTGATTTATAGCACTGGCCAGTTCAGTCTAGACTGTAATCTGATGTGTCCTACGTGCCGTGAAAGGCCAACAGTTATGGTCCATATACACCTCTGACTTACAGGTTCAGTGGACACTCACAGGATGCATACCTAAATTCCCAAGACCATATACCTATATAGTCGACTATCTCACAATGCGTGATACAGCAATGCATACCTGCCAAAAAAGTCTAGCAATGTATAGGATTTTGGATGGAACAAGTAGGGCTGCACACCGTCCCCGTCTTTACGGGTGTGACGGGGGCTATCAAGGGAAGCCCGTCCCGTCCCGTCGTGACTTTTTTCGGCGGAATATACGGGACGGGTACGGGACGGCAAATTGCCGTCCTTCCCGTCAAAGTACTGTGGTTGACGGCCGTTGACGGGTTTCGTGGTTCATTCAGCTGAATTGATACGAAACAACGGGAAATTTGTTCATAAAATGCTCACCCAGAATTAAAGACTGTCATTGAGACCCATAAGTTCCTCTAGGGTGGTTGATGGAATTTCATGTGTTGGAACCGACGACCACGTGACATGGCGCGTCCTACCAAAGCTTCTGCTTTTGCGTGAATTATTATTATCAGACAAGGTCTGATTCAAGGCATGCCAGAAGATCCCTAGGCACATTGAACGCTCATATCACCCAAGATTCGCGAAACAACTCGTGATTTGTCGCATACGGAGGCCATCCCGTTATTTAACGGTTGACGGCCGTCTTTTTGCCGTCCCGTCCTGTCTCGCGGCCCAAAAAATCAAAATGACGGCCACCTTTTTTACTGTACCCGTCACGGCATCAAGGATTGACGGCCATACCCATTGACGGGACCGTGGGCAGTGCTAGGAATTCGAACAAGTGGCCAATTTGATATTTCATAAACCCGATAATGCATAGCATTCTGGAGATCATGGCAGGGAAACAAGCAGTATCAATTTTGAGACAGTTGACTGTATCTGCTTCACTTTATACTGGGATCGAGGTCAAAAATGCTAAGGTGGCCAATACCCAGTCAAAGATGATATATGTTGAATGACTTTAGAAGAGTTGCCCTTTCAGTGTTCGCCCGAAGGCCTAAGGCCTTAACCCTTAAGGTCTTAATTAAGGCCTTAGAATTTTTCGGCCCAGCGTCACAACCATAATAAGGCCTCAAATTATCACGTGTACCCTTTGTAACTTTCCTTTTTTTGCCATTGGCTGATGTCGACTACCATCTTGCTGCAGCAATGTCATTCCACCAGGGAAAAAATAGGCCTATCTGGAGGGGCAGAGAAGCCCTGTACTTGGAAACTGTCGGCATGTGTGATGGACGTAGAGGAGGAGATTCCGATGGGTTTGTTGGCAGATGAGACTGAGGAGGTACCCCCCGATGAGATTAGGCTAATTCTGACATTTCGGCTGTGCCAAATACCGTGGGATTTTTTCTATCGAAGGCCTCATAGGCCCTTAGGATTAAGGCCTTAACCTTATTAAAGCCTTAAGGAGCCGGCCAACCCGATTCAAGGCCCTCAGGGCAAACACTGTCCCCTTTTACCTTGAAGTTTGTTTGGGCAACCACAGAGCCACGGAAGCGAGATTTGTCTGTTCGGAGTTGTTACAGTCAACACAACACTGTGTCCATAATCTGAATGTATCCCGCTGTTAGTGTTGTCGGGCAGGTCAGAGCGGGTCTGGGTCGCAGGATATCCTGGGCTTGGTCCTATTGTTTCCAAACTATACCAAGGTGAGTATTACAGCCAATGAAGCTCATGACTCCCCGCACATGAGTAGCAGAGCTGCTTCACCCTTGAGACAAGACTTGTCAACATTGTACAGCAGACCTGTACTCTATCAAAACTGTTCGGGATCTAGTGATTTTGGATCAGAATTCCAGAGTGGAAAAGCATGCAAGAGGGCCCAAGCTGGTTGAGCTTTCAAAAATTCTGACGCTAAAACATAGGGTCAGGACCAAGTCAGGCTCAAAAAGCCTGGGCTTGGGTCAGGTTGCTGCCTTTCCAATAGAGAGGATGTGCAAAAGCCGCATGCGGGTTTCAAAGCTGCACACGGTAATATACTTCTTTGGCTCTCGGGCACCTCTAGGAGTGTTGAATGACACCCTCTGACCAAGCGAGCCCCCTCCAAAAAAAGCCGCCTGCAGTCAGCTTGCGCACCAAAAAGCCGCATGCAGCTTTGCGCATCCTGTCTAATATTTGGCCACTGCTTGTGGTGGGTGTGGGTGCAAAAACAAAAGGTGGTGGATCACATCATCGGCGTCCTTCGGTCACTCCTCAGGGCACGTGTGATTGGAACTCAAAAATAGTATGGAGGGAAATTTGAACACACGCGAAAGGACAAGCACTGTGTTCAGCCGGGCCATAGACAGCAAGGTGTCTAGCCTGTGGTAGCTAAGCTAGATGTCTATAGCCTGGCTGAACACAGTGACTGAAAATGCCAGCATCTTTTCTGATACCTTTCAATAGTTTCCCTTCGACCCAGAACAGTCTTTTCACCATAAAATTGAATTGTATATGAGCAGAACTCAATGCTGTCAACTGTTAAATGATAAAAACCAATGTTTAACAATACAATCCATCTACTAAAATCATCAAACATGTGGGCTTGTTGTGAGGGGAGAAGGTGCCTGGGGCCTAGTTGAGAACGAAGCTGGGGATCAAGGTCCCCAGCGACCACTATATATATACAGGAGTGATGTAAGCGGTGATGACTACGTAGGAACCCGTAGGGCCGAACACGGGCCAGTGACATAAGCATGCTGATGGCCATGTTCCCCTTACACTTGTCTTGTATTCGTCTTCGCAACCTCAGTAAATGGGAGCCGACCACATTATTAAGATTGTTCATGGTTCCCTTTTTCAGCCCTTTTTCACTCCCTTTTTTGTGTCTCGAGCTCAGAGAAGAGTAATTAGATCAACATAACACCTAGCATTTCCCAATTTCCGTCACTTTTGAACTTATGCTAGGTTTCTTCTCCCTTTTCAAACATTTTTACATGCAAAGTTGAAAAGGGAAAAACCCTGGGCCAAAAACAAAGCAAACTTGAGAAGTCAGAAAAAAGGGAGAGAAAAATGCAAGGGGCTACCATTTCCCGAAAAATATACCTTAGGTCGAAATTCCTATCTCAGAGGGCCGAGGGGGGACCCTCCCTCCCCACGTGATGGGGAAATGGCCTATATAAGGAAATTTCCATCAGATGGCGCTCGGGTAGCATTTGCTGAGCTCGCCGGCAGCTGCCGCTGCCGCGCTGCCGACACCCTCTGAGAGCAAAATCACACTGAGATAAGAACGCCAAGAGTCTGACTGCATCTCACAACAGTCTTATGGCCCTTTGTACCATTGTTGTTTCATCTTGTCTTCCATCAGCTTTCTGGTGCGAAGTTAAGGGCCTTGAGGTTTGGTAACTTATATAGTAAGGTAGAATCTTATTCAACGAGATTTATAATTCAGTGGCTAGCCAATAAGCCTTTCAAGAAAGCTTGTAAGCATCTCGCTTGAGAAAACTCAATATAGTCGCCATGTTTATCGCAAGCACGATCTGGGTTTGCGATGTCCACCTTGTTTATGGTTAATTTATGGCCATGTCTATCCTCACAGGCATGGTGAGGACACAGTTTACCTCCAGGGTGGCTAAAATACACTCAAATGCCCCACTACCTAAAGTGTATATAATTTTTTTTTGCGGCCCAAGGACCTCCCCCTCCCCTCCCCAAATAAGGAAATTTCTTATCTTGAGTGGAAAAGGGGCTACTGTGAATGACCCTGTTTGTACATGTTGAGTTGGGATCTGTTTGTATAGCTGTGCGCTAGATGCGGACAGCCACAGTGTCCCATGGAGAAAATTGACCCGAGTTGGTTCGTGCTGGCAGAAGGCTGAGCTATGTCTGTGGGCACTTCAAGTATGGTTGATGCACTGGTTTTATCTGGGCTTCAGTGACCATTGCTTTTAGGCACATTCCATGAAAAAAAATTGCATGCACCCAGGATCGAACACACGCCAGGATGCAGTTCAGAAAGCGGGCCGGTAATATAGCCGGCTACAGCCACTATTTTATCACAAAAAATCTAATGAAACTCGTAAAAAAGACTTCAACACAGCCACTATTTTATCATAACGATCCCGGGGGACTGACTTGTTCAGAGGTCGAAAAATCCTCATATCGATTTCCCAAATGGACGATTACTTATTACATAAGCACTCGTAACTATTCTGGGCTGTACTATGTATGTGCATTCCCGCTGGATCAGATATAATTCGGAGGCGTTGAAGATATGACAGAAAATCAACCTCTGGAGTTTGTCAATTGGTTGATGGCGTGGAATTTGAGGTCGGAGATGGCTGCACTTACTTTCCTGTTTTTTTTTTGTTATAAAAAAAAACCACCACAATATCTGCATGCGCCAGCGGGGAATCGAACCCCGGACTGAACCACTGCTCATAAAGGGAAGGCACATGAGGTGACTGTCGAGGAGTTGGAAACATGCTGGTACCTTGACCGTGACCTCTGGAGTTTGTCAATTTATTTACTTTGTGGTTGATGGTATGAGAACTGAGATCAGAAACAATACCTGCTCTCCACCCACCTCCGAATTAAAAAAACTAACAAAGGGCCATATTTATGCGCCAGCGGGGAATCAAACCCCAGACTCAGTCACTGTTCACAAAGAGGAAGTATTTACAAGGTGACTGCATGTACCATACACCACTGGTGCTCTCCAGCTACTTGCCTGTTTTTCCTTCAAGCATGTCCACATTATGACGGGATTCTCTGTTTTTTTTTTTACATTACCACTTTGAAATGGGGAAAAGGGGAAGGGTGGAATGAATAAACCTACCTATCCGCGGCCCACCATTTGGAAAAAGCAAAGAAAAAAAAAGATAGTGCATTCTAATGCGCTTCGAGGAGTTGAACCCCACCTCATGGCTGGGCTGTGAATAAGAACGAGACATGGCAGGTTTTATGGGTGCTGGCTCTATAAAGCAGACAACGGTTGACCTGCTAGCCTACTTCTGAACCCAGAGGTAGACAAATTCAAAAAGATGGACCTCAAGTTAAGTTTTTGTTGAATCAACACAGCAGAACACACACTTTTGGCTGGAGAGATGCAAGCAAGCAAGTCAGAGTTGAAATTGGAAAGTGTCAAAGTTGCTGTGATGAGATCCTCGATCCAAGATACTTGGGGTGGGGCCGTGGCGTAGCCCAGCAAAACTCGTACTTATGTCCATTTTTTTTCTAGTACTTGGTCCGGAGCCTTTGTGTCACTGCCTTTGAAGTCACTTGTGAAATAGAGTACTAGATATTAGCTCTGCACACCGTGTGCTCGAATCTGATTGCAAAGTATTTGCCGCATCGTGCTCATT